CTGCTTAGAAAATTTAGGCTCCACGAAAGCCCTGACCTTTGGCCCTGCATAAAATGAGAAGGGGGGGATTTCCTTCTCAATGGCTATTCAGACTGAGCAATGGACAAGGGTATAGAGATACAAGGATATAGAGGGACTTTAAGAGGGGTGGGTTTATTCCAGGAGGCCTCAAGCCAGAAGAACCCTCTAGTTTTGTAGCATCCTGGCATTTTGGAACGTCTTGGAGCTTTATGGAGCTACAACTATTGGGTAAGAGTAGGTATGGATAGAACTATAGGTGAAAGATGTTTCCATGGATGCACCAGATATAATCTCATCTAAATTATGTCCTTACTGGGATTTGTCCTCTTCCATCACTTTGATTAGGTATTTTCATTTAGAAGATAGAAGTTCATCAGATTAGACAAAGGGGAATGAAGGAAGAGAAAATGGAAGACAGCGTAATGAATCTGACATAAGTTTCTTATGTATGTAAATGAAAACAGTGAGTCCCACCATCATGTACATCCACTGGAATGGGGTCCTAATTAGAATAAGATATATTTCACACTTGTATAATTATATCAAAGTGGATTCTACTGTCATGTATAAATTAAAAGAGAGAGAGAGAAGATATCTAGAACAAAGGCAGACAGTAATATGCAAGAAACCCATGGAGAATTGTGTTTCAACAATGATACGCTGTTATACTTCCTTTGAGTCTCTATTCAAATGCTCCCTTGTCAATGAAGTTTTCCCTGAGCATCTTATATCAAATAGTTACCTATGGTCACTTGTCTCCAGTAATTCCATATGATCATTGGAACAAAAGTAAAGGAAATGCTGATAAGCGATCCGATGTAAGTGTTGTCCTATTTAAATTTCACAAATCAAACGAAGATGTGACGGTCCTCATTACATAGATGGGACGGCAGAAGCTCAGTGAACCCAAGCCATCTGCCCGAGCTCACCTAGAAAGCCAGAGGCAGGCCTGTGTGCACAGCCTGGCCCCGGTATGAACCCCCACCCCCTTCCATTCTCTGCACTCAGATGTCATGGTTCTGCTCTCTTGGTGTCACTTCAGACTGCTGCAGTCTTGGTCCTCATCTCAAGGTAGTATCAAGTCTGGAATTTGGGAGCTGGATATACTAGGACTGATATAGTAGTAGCCACGTAGTAATTTTTGTGTGACCGTGGACAAATGATTTTTTTAATGATCAGTTTTTTTTCATCTCTGAAATGAGGATTATACAGTTCCTATCCCATTCTGAGGATTAAAGGAAGCCAACGTTCGACACCCAGTCAGCCTTCAATAAACAATTGCCTATGTGTATTATACGATACTTACACGGGTCTCTATATAGGTCTGATTTCGGGTTTCAAAAGGGAGATCAGCTAAAAGATTGACTGACATGAAACAAAGAAGAGACTTGAATAATAGAGTAAGTAACTAATAGCTGTGAATAATACACTGATACCCAAAGATCACCTTCTAAGCTATGATCGAATCAGTGGTTGAGTGCAAGTTAGGGAAACATGTGGATGCCTGTAATCCCAGTGATTTAGGAGCCTGAGGAAAGAGGCCAAGTTCAAGGCCAGCCTCAGCTACATAGTAAGATCCTGTCTCAAAATAGTGCTGAGGATGTAGCTCAGTGGTAGAGACAGTGTTCCTGGGTTCCATCTTCAGTATCAAAAAAAAAAAAGAAAGAAAGAAAAAAAATTAACACATACAAAAATATCTGAAATAATAATGATAAACTTATGGTTATGATAAATTAGATTATTATTTAAAATTGCCCATTTCCTTTGCTCATTTCAAGGGGGAGTATGTGTACTTCCAAGGAAATTGATTTGGGACATGATCATGTGAAGTTTTGGCTTCCTAGCGGTAGAACGGACATCTCTGTCCCTTCATTTGGACTTAATCATTGTCTTGCTTCAGCCAATAAGAGTAGTACAAGTGACATGACTCCCTTGCATGGTGGGGGTTTGCTCTCTGGCCTCTCTGCCATTTCCATGAGATGACCGTGGCTAGAATCTTGCTCTGTGAAGACGGAAAGGGCCTGGAGCAGATTCAGACCTGGGGCCTAGCTTTGTCAACTGCTGGCCTGTGTGCAGGTGCCTGAACAAGAATAAGCACTCCCTGTTGACTGTCACTCAGATTCTGTAGAAGTTTGTTTGCAGGAATAGAAAACTGATAGCAGGCTGCAAACGGCGCTAGATGTGTGGCAGATAGATAGCACCCATCTTAAGCTTTGTGGGTAAATAATACAGATGTCAATCATTTAAAGAAGTATCTCCCATTTTCTTCTTTGGTCTGTATGAAGTTAGAGCCAGCCTTGTGTCCTCAGACGAGTTCCCTGGGGCCTTTATACATCTGCTTCTGCACTGAAGAAGAAAGATATTCCTCGCCACCTACCATTCCCCAGGGGTCATAAATTAACAGTTGAAAAACTCTTTGAGATCTCCCATGAAAGGTGCAATTTAAGCAAAAGCATGCCTATTATTTATTTTTATTATCCATTTTAAAATTGAATACTTAGACCAAATAGATTTTCCAGCCACCAAAAAGGAAGTTTCTTCTATGCCACAACATATTATGTATTGGGCACTCTCCAACTATAGACTATATTTCCCATTTATAGCACTAATTTAAATGTTTATGGGTCTGTAAATGTATTCCATTTCTCCTGGGGCTTCTGAATACCTATAATGGTCTAATATTTTGGAACACTAAATGATGCCTTGGGCAAAGTATAAAATAGGGAAATAAGAGAAGCAGAGAATGAATTGAGTAATACTAGAGACACTTTAAAAAATAATGCTTTTAGACTCCCAGAATTACCCTGCAAAGTAGTCCAATTTGTGATTATTGTCTTTCCTTCATGTTTCAAATGATCACTTTTGTATTATACAGCTTTGGGGGCTGATGAGACCAACATAGCAAAAGCATAGATGTTGTATTATAAAATACAAGTCAATGTGGTGTATTAAATGACTGTAGGGAGAGAACTCGTGTAGGGGAAAGGTGTGGATCAAGGCCTGGGGTGGCCTTTTCAGTTTACCTGTGGCTGGTGTTATTTTTGCGATCTCTGTTCCAACACCGACATCAATAATCAAGATTTTAATCTAGAAAGTAACTAAAATGATCCTTTCTGGATGAGCTAGATGAAATTTTCTACGTGGTAATGTACCATAGGACGGTGACTTCATTATTGTTCTTGGTCACAAAGGCTTGCCACTTGTGATTGGAAAGAGAGTTGGCATTAAGGTGACTGTTGGGTGCACCAGCATCCACCAACAATGTTGAGAATCACCGATGAGGGGGTTTTTCTGCCTTGGACCCATTCTGTGTGGGGCCCTGGTCTGTCTCAAATTGTAAAACACAGTCTCTTTTCAGGAATTGGAAAATTCAGGTGACAGTTTCAAAATCGTCTCCATGTTGTTGAAATACCCAAGTGGAGGACTAGTATCGTCACCACCCTCATCTCCCCTGTGCATTTCAGAGTGAAGAGAGAGAAAGCTGCTCCTAGGCCCAGGGTTCTGACATTCTCAGGAGTCACTCTGAACTCGGCTCTTTGTCCACCAGAGATGGGGTCTCATGCCAGCATTAATGGCTCCTCCAGGGAGGGTGTGGAAGCCAGCTGACGAAGGCCTGCTCTGGGGGTGTCAGTACATTAGGGTGCTGTATGCTGCCTCGTGTTAAAAAGGAAGAGCATTTTGACGAGACGTTTGTGACTCTTGATCAGCCATTTCTAGCCATCATCTCTAAATAATGCTGTATCAAGAAGCAGGGATCTCTATACCCCTACAAATTTGGGGTGAGTATTCGAGTCCTCTAAAGGAGGGTAAGCTGTGTCCCAGTGTACTTAGGGAGGCAGCATGGAAGAGCGGATGCACCTGGGAGTCGGTTTGTTCTGGGCTTTCATCCTCTTTCGGCTCTTTTTTTTTTTTAACTCTTCATTCTCCCTTTTTTAGCTAACATTATGCAAATTAATCAAATTCCCTGAGACTCAATTTCTTCAGTTATATAACCTGAGTATAATACCAAAATGTGTTTTTGTTGGAAATATGGTGAGTCTACAAGAAGTGAATGCTATCTATCTATCTATCTATCTATCTATCTATCTATCTATCTAACATACCCATCCATCCCATTCACATCAGGGATTTACCAACCTTTCATTAAAATAAGTGCTTGATTAAGGAGTCACCAGAGAGATAAACATAATGCTGAGAAAATTGGTCACCATATCACCAAAAATCTTCATTTTTACCAATTCTTCCAAACATCAAGTAGTACATGTTATATTAATAGAACGCTTGAGGAAAAAAGAAAACAAAACATTTTTTTGAGCATCGATAGAGCACTTTGTTGTTGTCATCATTTTGTTTTGTTAGTGGCTTCACAGGGAAAAGGAGCTGGAAATAGGCGATAACGTGATGAAAAAATAAATTTCTTTGTCCTCTTCTGAGAACTGTATTTGATTTTGAGAAAAGGATTTGTGGACCATCAAAATGACCCACCTATTGCAAAAAAAACCTTCACTATCCAGTGCAAAAATCTTCGCAGCCTGTCCCTGGCAGGTTGTGACCTAGCCTTTTATTGACATTCCAAATAGCCATCTCACTTGAGAACCAGGCTCTTTAGGGCTAGTTTCAAGTATCAGAAATTCTTCCCCATGCCGAACCCAAGTCTCTCTGAGGACGTTTTCCTGTTCCTTGTCTCAGCCCTGCGCTCTACAGCCACACAGAGCTCGTTACTTCCTTAAAGAAAACCTAACATCTCATAACTAATGGCAAATACGGCTCTGAGGAAAGAGGATTTATTTATGTTTCTGTAGAAAATAAAAATGGTACTTATCCAGTGCTCTTTAGCAGACACCTTGGGAAACGGCACCTTCCAAGGGCAGCCGGCAAGATCTTCAGGTGGGCGCCAGGTTGCACTAGTGCCACCTTGGAAGGCACACGCTCCACTCCAGGGGCTGATCTAATGAGTTTATTTCTCTGCCCTGTTCCAGTGACAGGGCCATTGAGTGACTTCATTGCAACCAGTATTGCTGACTAATGCCTGTATCAACACCTACCGCCGCCACTGGCCTTACATTGATTCCACGTCCAGTTTGTTTTCTCCAGAGAGAACTTTTCCACATCGTTGGAACTAATTGAGGTAATGGAGAAATGCTTCTGGTGCCAGAACCCTCTGACTTTCTTTTGCTCAGTTCCCCTTTGGTATTGAAAGACCACAATGTTCAGTCTCCGGTGGGTGTTTCTCTACAGTCAGGAGGAGAGAGTTTGATGGTGTGGCCATCGCACCTTGGCAGCTTTGGCACAGTCCAGGCTGGATGCTCTACCCCCTTCTCTCGTGGCTTGCCCAAGCTGCCCTTCACACTCCTGGGGCACTTCTCAGTGGGGACCTAGGAATCCCTCCTGCTATTCCCAGGACTGACCACAAGAAATCTCTTAATGTTCTCTGAAACAACTAGCAGATGGAAACAAACATTTTATGAGAACATATTCCACCTTAATTATATGTATTGTCTGCCAATGTTTATAGCGTCTCAGAGGGAGTTTGGAGGTAAGGCTGAGTCGGCTGAGTATGGTTTTGATTACAGGGATTTGTATCAAAAGTGGAATGGTACCTTTTACTGACTTCCAATCTCCCCATCTAACCTACACTTCATGTCCCTTACTCAAGAAGGTTGAAAGGACCATACCCTAGACAGCATGGCCTCCTGAAAAGTCCCTGGTTTTGCCCCTTGTCAATAGTTTGTGGCTCAGCAAGTCTTTGGGGTTAATTTCGGTAGCTCCTTTGACTGCAGGGCCTTGTAGGGCTTGGATTTTAGGTATACTTTCTGCATTGTGGGAGGGTGGGCCATCCCAGGAGGGTGGGCCATCCCCTCTCAACGGTCTCTGATTAGCAGATGCAGAGTTGGTTCATTGTCGGGGCAGGGGAGTGAGGCACGTGCATGATTATTTGAGCTTGGAAGAAAGAATCTACACATACTAAATACTAATGACTTTTGTAATATTCAGCTTGCATGTTACATTGGTATCCTTTTCTCCATATTTCCCTGCTCCCTCCAATGGTTAGTCCTGCATCTTTTCCCTTATTGGTCAGTCCATCCAAGGTGGGTAGCAGAAATGATGCCATTCTGAGCCACAGATTGCAAATATATCTGAGTCACCACTGGCTAGCAGCTCTGGTCAGCATGGGGAGCAGTGGCCATTAGGGCTTGGAGCTGAAATGGGTGTTTTGCATTACTTGTGAGTTTTATTTCCCCCCATCACCTGTGACCCTTTTTGCAAAGTTAATTGAGAGTTGGCCTTTTTCAAACCAACTGCAGGAAATTGACCTTTGTGTTCACGCTATGTTAAGAAAGGCCTGGATGAAGAGAAATGAGGAGGTGAACTGGAAATTATCTGGCCCCTACAGCCATGCTATGCCACTCTGTGAAATGAGCATGGAATTCTTGATACAGTCAAATAGGCAATGCCAGTTGCAGAATTGTTTCCCTTTAGAATCAAACTGTAATCAGAATTTGTAAAGTGCACTGGAAGTTCAAAATTTTAGCAATCTGAAAGTGCCTTTTAAAGTAATGTCTAATCTGTTGATTTCTGTTTCAGTTAAAACCCGTGTATTCCTTTTTTCCCTCCCAGGACTAGGGATTAAATCTACCACTGAGCTACTTTCCCAGTACCCCCTTTCTTTATTTTTTACTTCGAGACAGGGTATTGCTAAATTGCTCAGGCTGGCCTCCAATTGTGATCCTCCTGTCTCAGCTTCCTGAGTGGCTGGGATTATAAGTGGGGCCCCATCGTGCCTGATCTATTTTCTCATTTTCAGTTAGTGGTAGGGAGAGCTGCTTGGGGCCACTTGCTTACCTGGGAATCTGACTGGTAAGCAAGTATGTCTTTTGCTCTGAACAGATGGGAGGACAGTTAGAAAATGTGTACTTATTTTGACCTCAACAATCCTGGGTTCAAGACTGGGCTCTGCCTCTTAGTTCTTGAGTTACTTCAGGAAAAGCATATAAGTGCTTGCATCTGAATGCTTCGTGTGAATATGAGAACATTGGTAAGACATGAGGTTCTGTGCGGATTCCATGAATCCATTGAAAAGTTTAGCACGGAGATGCTTAATGTCCTCATTTGCCTGTTTTGTGTCATGCCGCTCTTGTGTGCTAGGATCCAATGGCAAGAATATTCGAGGGTCTTGCCCTTGTGAAGGTTACACTCTTTCGGGGGCTGACAGTTTCTTTACTCTTTCTGGGGACGAGGAAAAATCTTGGTTAAACCAGCAGGGTTTGAAATGCAATAGGAAGTAAATTGTTATTTTTGACTAGAAAGCCAGGATGTGAAATGGCTTCTTAAGACTCACAGCTGGATTAAATAATTCTGGGTCAGGATCTAGATTTCATGGTCTGGTGGTGAGGTCAGGCTGTGCTTGCAGGCAGGGTGCCTGAGTCACTGCTCAATCCCAGACATGTGCCCGACCTCTGTATCAGCCTGGCTTTCTGTTTTGTTTGTTTTACCTGTAAAACTGGTATCATGACACCCTTGATTCTCTGTATCTGTGGGTTCCGCATCTATAGACTCAACCAACTGTGGCTAAAAAAATATTCAGGAAAAAATTAATTGCATCAATACAGACTGTTTTCTTGTCATTGTTCCCTAAACAATATGGTATAATAGTACTTACATAGCATTGACATTGCATTAGGTACTAAAAGGCACCTGGAGATGATTTAAGATGTACTGGAGGAGGTGCACAGGATATATGCAAACACTACACCATTTCACACGAGGGGCTTGAACATCTCCTTTTTGCTATCTGTTTGGGGTACTAGAACCAACCCCCGACATATACTAGGGACTACTATATTCTTTCAACCCTATAGATTTATAATTATAAAACCAAATAAAGTAAAGGAAGGTGACAGATGATAAAATAGACTCTTATGTTCATTCTAACCTCATTTGTGAACCAGAGAAACTTCATTATACTGACGAGTCATCCAAAAAGAAAACAACAGGAGACAGTCCCAGAGGAGTCTGACAATTTAAATACAGTGGTCCAAACATGGTCTTGAGTGGTGGTAGAATGAAAACCAGGCACAACTTACAAAAAGCACTCAGGGGAGGAGGGACAGGGAAAGAAAGTTCATCATATTGCCTAAGATCACTAACTCCATAATGAAAGCAGAGGAATTTAGCTTGGGCCTGGCCTTGGCACCACTCTTCTACTTTTTAGTCTCTCAGCTAGCTACTGGTGGATAATGGAAAGCCCTAACCTAAGTGGCTTCCAACAACCACCATTGTCAATGTAGTTCTGCTGATTTGGGCCAGTCTGACTGATCTTCACTGGGCTCAATCGAGAGTTCATGGTCAGCTTGAAGGTTAGCCAGGGTCAGGCTGGTCTTGGATGGCCTCCCTCTGATGATGAGCCAGTTGGCTAGCTTTGGCCCCTGCTATGAATATGGCTGGAGCACTGTGGCTCGTCAGTTACCTATAGCCTGGCCTTGTTGACACGTTAGCAGTCTGTATCAGGCTTCATGGAATGGAAGCTTGTAAAGGGTCACGCATCCTGATCTCTGAACTGTCACCGCATTCTTTTGGCTAAAGAAAGTCACAGGAGACTAGTTCACATTCAAGGAAGCTGACTCTGCATCCTGGTGAGATTATTAGAAGATAAACTTTGATGTGTTAATATACTAAAAAAATTATTTGATGGCAAATGTTTTGAAGACTCAGCCAAAGGGGTGAGAGGGGAGATCTTCTAATAGGGTAAATGCAAAAGCAAGGCAAAGAAAATATTTGATTGGATAAAATGAAGCAATGGCCTTATTTGCATCATTACCGAGGAAAGTCCCTAGATAGAAGTCAGTTTGCAGTTTCTGATGGATTAAGCTTCAGTTTTGTTTGAGTTGGGTTTCGTTTGCTTCTTTGGGAACACAGAGTGCTGGAACCCCTTCAAATTTAATGGCTTCCCAACTAATTACTTCAACAAAGAGGCTGCAAAGTCACATCACACAGGCTGTGGATGTAGGAAAGGACCTAGGATTGAGTTGTGTTTGTAATTGCTGCTCTAGTCTACCTACTTGGATAAGTTCTTTAATTTCTCTCAGGGTAACCAGTACCTCATGGGACTATTATAAGGATGAGAGACACATGCAAAACTCTGAATAGAATATAAAACCTATAGGTGGGTACCAATATTATTTTTCTCTTTATTTTTAATTATATAAGACTTATAGTTTAGGTAATAAACATGAATGTAGAATAATTAGAAATGCATATAAATAATGAAAATAAGAAAGAAGAATGAAAAGCACTGAAATCTCACCATCCAACTCTAAGCACTTTTTACATGTTGGTACCTTAGATGTTTTCTCATTAGTAGCTATCATTACTCTTATTAGCTTGAATATATTGGTATTCATGGGATGCTAGGTTAGGATATTAGGTTAGGCTTAACCTACAGTTTGCAGGTCACAGAAAAGTCTGAAATTGCATTCTTTTTCTTTTTCTAGTGCTAAGGATGGAACCCAGGGCCTCACACATGCTAGACAAGAGCTCTATCACTGAGCTACACCCTGAGCCCTAAAGCTGCATTCTTTATTTACCCACCCATCTTTCTCCTAGGCCTCGTCTGCACATCCACCCATCTCCTACAAGTTTCTTTTCTTTATTTAGTATTTCATTTGTTTGGACCCACCTTTGCCTGTAATTCAGGTCTATTTGATCCCCGATTCAGATCACCTTTCCATCTTATCCAACATACTATTTTCTTCCAGAGTAGACCGCAATTTGTTGCTCAAATATTTTGGTTGTTGCCAGTTACCTTCAGAGAAATCCAGACTCCCTAGAGTGCAGAGTGAGGCTCCTCCTTATCTTCTGTACCTGCTTTTTTCCCTCTTGGTTTTCTTCATTTTTTGACTCTAACCCTTTCCATTCTCCTCTCCCCAAACAGTGCATGACATTATGATTCCAGCATGTTCTCTACTCTGAGCCCCGACGTCTCTTCCTAGCCCTCTCTTTAGAACCCTCTCTTTAGCTTGGGTATTATTGATATTATCAGCCATGCCTAAGCCTCAGTAGTAGGAACCACACACCTTTCTCTGGCAGGTACACAATGTAGCCCCTCTCTCATGGTTTGTATGTACATTT